ATAAGTACCTGAAGATACATATAGAGTTATTTCCTTTTTACCACGGGCAAGTATCAAAATCCCCTTACTCATCTTTCAAGCATCTGATGTAAACGACGTGACCACTCCACCCTCTGACAACTAACTTATTGAAATAATATTTCTTGTTAAACTAGGCACATGTCTAACATCCTTTAATTTCAGAACCGTCTCATATGTCTGAGTAATTTGCACATCTCCTTTTCCAACAATGTTGCAGGCTTCATCATCGCCTAAATACACTTTACCAAAGTTTTCCTGCACATAGTTTTGTAGCACATCCATGCATGGAGTAACATGGAATGAAGCTCTAGAATCTACAATCCAAGATTCACTGCGAGAATCTAGCGAACAAATCAAAGCATCATTATCAGACTCGTCAGCAATATTAGCAATATTTTTACCTCTATGATTATTCTCATTCTACTCCTTTCTTGGTGTCTTGCAGTCCCGTTTCCAGTGCCCCTTCTGACCACAGTTCCAGCAGCCCTTATCTCTGCCATGAGATTTACTTCAGCCTTTGTTTCTTGAATATGACTTTCCCTTGCCCTTTTAATTGCCTCCTTTATTCATAGTCTTACCTCTCTCCTCCGTATTGAGTGTTGAACCTGAAATAACATCCTCACCCGATGCTCTTCTCCGAGCCTCTTTTTCGAGTATCAACACCATAACATCCTCCAATTTTATCTTTGCAGATCCGAAAGTATTGCTTACTACCACGACAAGTCCATTCCAACTTTTCGACAGATTTGATAAAAGGACAAGAGCTCTAATTTCATCATCAAAAATAATACTCACAGATTCTAACTGATTTGTGACCGTATTAAATTCGTTGATATGTTCAGCAACAATAGTGTTTTCAGACATTTTAGGTTAAACAATTTTTTCATAAGATATATCTTATTCACCGCTAAAGGCTTTTCGTGCATCTTTTCTAAGGCTTTGAACAAATCTAATATAGTCTTTTCTTTGGCGATGTTCGACGCAAGTGACGGCGCGAGGCACAGTCGCATAATCCCTAGGGTTTTGCGATCCAAAACATCCCACTTTGCTTGCTCCATATCCGTTGGCTTCGTCCCATCGATAGGTTGATACAGATCATTCTGATATAAAATATCCTCCATCTGCATCTTTCAAAATGCATAGTTCGTGCCATTGAATTTTTCGATCTTGACTTTGTCTTCAGCCATTATGTAAACCCTTGACCTCTTAACCCAGAGCTCTGAGACTAGTTGTTGGGATTTAATACGCTTTAAACCCATAGAAAAACACACACAATTGAAGAACAAACTAAAAACATAAAGCAATAAGAAAGAACAAAACACACAAATTTTACGTGGTTCGACAATTTGCTACGTCTACGAAGTTTCAGGGATTTCACTATTAAGAGAGAGGATTACAGAGAGTGGCTATACACTTCGATCAAACCTTAATCACTAAAGTAACTGTTTTTTATATGTCCTGTGCACCAGGCTACAAAGCAGGACAAAAAAATTAGACTCCACAAAGGCTCAAGCCTTCGCTCCATGAATCAAGTCTCAGAAATTTTTTCATTAAAAAATCACGTAACATTACTTCGAATCGGATCATCATCCGAATCAATATACAAACTAGACTTCACAAAAGCCCAACAATTATGTGTTATTTAGTTTTTATTTTCATTATTTGTTGGTTTCGTTCTCTTTATTTCGGGAATAACCTATTTGTTGAATGTGATTTTTTTTTCTTTTTCAAAGTAAATTGAGTTTGACACTCCGAGAATAAATGTTTTTTTAAGTGGTGATAAAAAAAAGTAGTTGAGCTAAGAATCACATAATTTGCTTGGACTTTGAGAAACATAGTATCATGAAATGTGTTTTTTTTTTTGTCTTCACTCAGTAGTTTATTAAACAGTTTTTCAGATTCAATCACATTTGACTTCCTTGTGCACTTATCCCAAGTTTTTGTTTGTTCTTTATTCTAATTTTGGCAATTTGTATTTGACAATTCTAGAATGAAGCATGATGAGCTAGCGAATTCACATGACTGAGGATGAAGAGAGACCAATGGTACACTACAAATATTATGAAAAAATTTGACATTTTATTTTCGACGTTTAACTTGAACGTTACTAAAATTGGTGTTTTTTTATACACGCCAAAAATTATTAATAAAAATAATAAAAAAAATTCGCCTAATTTCTGGCGTTTAAGTTAAACGCCACAAATTATTAATTAAAAACCCAATTCGCTCTCTGGACTCAAAATAGCCATTGAAACCATGCGACTTCTCTTGCTTTCACTCTGTCTCAGGGGACGACTCCTCATCGTCCCTCTCTCCGGCGATACCTCAATTGCTTTCTCTCATGCGACTTCTCGTTGTCCCTCTCGCAGGCGACTCCTCATCGGGCACCTCTCTGATCGTCTTCTCTCTCAGCTTGCATTGTTCTGTGATCTGTAAGTACCTTTACACATTCTTAGCTCCATTATTGTGTTTTCTCTATCTAACCTTTTTTCATTTTTCTTGTTGTTGAATTTGTGAAGATTTAGTTTAATTTGTTGTAGATTTTTCTTTTATTTATTGATTCTGCTTTAACTATGGATAATTTGTTGTAGATTTAGTTTAATTTCTTTTATTTTTTAATTTCTTCTATCTCTCAGCACTAATGCATATTTCTTTGTCGCCTGCGAGATGACTACTTGGGGCACTAAATTAGTGTCCAAGACTCCAAGTTTACATTGCAGAGATGAAATTAGTCGTCGATAATATTTTGTAGATGTGCACTGAAGGAAGTTTAAGGCTTAAATCCGAAGTAGAAAAATCTATCTTATACTAGGTATTATCTCGAAACTGTGATGAAGGTTTTGTTAACGTTACTTTAACTAACATTTTTATTTCGGCATTTTGGTTAATTTAAAATCAAGTTGTTCCTAGTGATTCCTTGAATTTGCTAAAGGTATTACCACTAAATTACACAGTATAGTTTCAGAAAGTCAGTTATTACTCCCTGGAAAATATTTCTGAATAAAGAAAACTGAATGTTGTGATGACATTCTAAGGTGTATGGAGATCTGACCAGCATGTCCTTGCTGAAGGAAGTCTTGATTAAATTTAGCATCAGTGTTTTTCATATATGGAAGCCCTTAAGTCAATCTGACAGAGTATCAGCTGAAACTTTGAATACAGATGGGCATAACTTGAACTTCTGTTGGATTTTAGTTTACTTGAGCATATTAATATTCGTTGTTCCTTGAATTTTATTGTACTTAATTATTAAAAAATACATTATAAGATTGTCAAGTTTCCAACTCTCTTTTTTCCTTGTTTTTTTTTGTGTTCGATTGTTTTGGTATCTTGAAACCGCATATGTTTGATGGTTCAGATTTACAAATATATCATATTGGAATACGTTTATGGATAAGAGTTGGATACATTTACATAGACTGGACTCCGTTGTACAAACAAGGAGTTAAGAATTTTATCAAGTTTGCATGTGAAAATAGACCAAATGCACTGGAACTCAAGTGCCTATGCAAAAATTGTCGTATTGTTAGATTGATAAAAGTGAAACTTTTGGAAGAGTATTTGATTGTAGATGGGTTTCTTGAGAGTTAAACTCGTTGGATTTTTTTTAGGAAGTGGAAAAGTGTTCACCCTCAGTGACATAGAACGATAACAGGCCCATCGCTATGTGCTCATTAACACTCCCGCAGTTGTCCCATTTCAAGAGTAATACATGGTTCCATTTTTTGTTATTGTGTTAGAATAGTTAACCAACTTTGTGTTCATTGCATTCAAACAAGACTTTTTTACACGGGGAACATTGTGCATTTATTAGAACGTTCAATTTCCGTGTGAGGGATCATGAAGTCGATCGCATTCACAACGATACATTTCATGTATGGTTTGCATCCTATATATGTAACATCGAGAAATTTACATATAATTTCAAGTTAAGTGACATGTTATGTGTTAGTGTTTAATATTTCAAAATTTCCATTACTATAGGTGCAAAAGTTAATAGCAACAGGAAATATGCAACTTTCTAATGAGATTATGACACTAGCTATGGGTCCGTCTAAGCAAGCCACTGGGTTCATAGGGTACATTATCAATGGTACAAGGTATCACACAAAGAAACGTGAACGGAGAAGAAAAACTCAAAACATTGGTGGTATGCTAAAGTCAATTACTCATAGTTATGCTAGTTCAAGGGACATGCATTCCGTGGAAGGACATGTTACATATTACGAAGTGTTGACTGATATTGTTGAATTATATTATTCACACGACTATAATTATGTATTATTTAAGTGTGATTGGGTCGATAACAATAGGGGTCTTGTCGAGCGAGATGACTTTGGTTTTAACCTAGTCAATTTTAGAAATTTGCTTTACACCAAGGGATTGATATCTGATGAACCATTCATCCTAGCATCTCAAGCACAACAAGTCTTCTATGAATGGACAACAACCAAGAGAAGATGCTAGGATGTAGCATAACCAGTTAGAAGAATATGAGCAACAAGATTTAGATGAAATTGCTATCCATCATGACGACAACGACATGGTCTGGGTTAGACAAGGTGTTGTTGAAACCACAGTTCATGGTTATGATGATGAATGATAAATGAATTATTTTTTATTTTAATATCGTGAGACTTTATACATTTAATTGTTTTGGATTTTCATTGCAATGTAAAATGTCGAGCTATATTTTAATATCATGAAAGTGCTTAGTGTTTATATCTTGATGACACACTTCCAAACTCTTGTATATCCATAAATGGTTCATAGTTTGCTATGGTGGAAAATGTGCACATGATTCCAGAACCACCATCATGGTGACACCCTACTTCTATCCTCCCAAGTACATTATTTGGTTGTAGATTATGTTTTGCTTACAATTAGATATTATGCATACAATTATATGTTTAGTAATTTAAGTATCTATAATTCAGGTTTTAATACCAACCATCCATCTTGTGGCCAATCACTAGACGATGCTGGCAATACATCATACAACGACGACGGTATATTTTAGTAATGGAGGAATAGATAGTAATAATTATTACTAAACATGATATTGTGATCACTCAACAATTTTTTTTTAAGTGTAGGTTCCAATTCCTCGGATTCTATATAGAGACGATCTAGAGGTCCTACCTCGGCTTATGGCGGCAGTGTGCTACACATTGAGAAAAATGAATTAAAGCAATCAATTGGTGAAAAAGCTTGGCATGCTAGCTCGATATGGGACCATGACACTCTTAAATTGGCACGAGTGGCGTGTTGTTCCCAAGGAGTATAAAGAAATAATATGGGATGAAATAAAGGTGGAAAGTTTTTGAATTTATTTTATAGTTACTAAGTGATTATATATAGCTTTTGCATGTTATTAGTGGTTTTTGAATGGAATTGTTGGTAAGCACTGATGCAAAAAAGTGTATGAAAGGATATCTAATGAAGTCTATAGGGAAGAAGTGGAAAGACTGGAAGTATGAGACTAAGAAACAAGCTTATTATCCCTATAGAACTGATGTAGAAAGATTAGCTCGCAAGCCTGACCGAGTGGAGGAATCACATTGGCGGGTCTTGGTCTATTATTGGAGCACTTTGAAGGCCAAGTACAAATATGCAAGTGAAAATCTTGTCAATTCTAAAAGAAGTCATTACTCTTTTTCTTCAAATTTTTATGATAATTACTTTTGGCATGTAATAGGAAAAAAGTGAGAGGGACAAACTCATTCAGAGCAAGAAAAATTTCATCACACCATTGGCCGAACAAGCTTTGCATGTGTTATGGAAAGGGTTTGTTAGAAAACAAATGTGTTTTATAAAAGAATTTTATTCAAGTTTATTTTTTGTGTCTATTTTAACTGTAAAAAAAGAAAAAGAATAATGAAAAGAAAATGAGTCGTATTGAATTTTTTAAGGTTGCATATTCAACGAAAGATGGTCGACCAATTAATGATGTTGTTGCACAAGCCTTGTTATGTAATATTGGCAAGAAAGATGTTCACTATTTACCCATTCTTATTTCGCCTATGTTTCATATTTATTTCAAATTATTTTTTGCTGCAGTCAGACAATGATGAACTTGTGTCACAAATGCCAGTCTTCTATGCAATCTTCATCTGCAGTAGATGAAGTTTTCACTCAAGTCATGGGACTGGAGCGACCTGGACGTGTTAGAACATATGGTTTTGGGTCATCTCCAAGAGATGTGTTTGGGCATAAAAAATTAGAAAAGATGCAAGCAATGTTTGCTCAACTAGATGAGCAATTGAGTAGACATAAGGCAGCAGGCACAAATGGAGAAGCAAATGAGTCAGATGGAAGCTAAGTTTAAGGCTCAACAAACTAAGTTTGAGGTTTTTCTCTTTCAAATGTGTGCAATGAGTATGCCTATTCCCGAACCAGCTCGCAAAAACACAGATCTACTTCAGGTTGAAAAGGTAATAAAAACTTCAGCGACTTATATTTTGAGTTAGAAGAGTTATTGTATTATTTTTCTCCATGAATATTAAGTATTTGTAATCTTAAAAGGTACCTGATGCATCTAGTACTCATAATATAAACTCTTATCGATCATCCATGAGGATTGAGTCAAGAAGTCCGGTAATGCGAGACATAAAGTTTCAAGGTCATTGTAGAGCATCTTCACTTGGTCACGTGAGTCAATAAATGGAATAGTAGCTCAAATATTACATGAGTTTGTTGACTAGTATTGATCTTGTTGCAATTACTTTGGTTTGAATGAGTTTGATGGATTTTTTGTGGCTGCCCTTTGTGCTGTTTTAGGGTACTGAGGAGCTATGTAATAGTATTAGAGTATTTTTTAACAAAATAATATGTATATTTTTTCTGTTTAGTTCTTGAGCTGTACTTTTCTGTTGATAGTTTGTTGTTTTGATTAAAAAAGGTTGTCTAGTGTGGAAAATATCTTTTTTTGTTAGTTAAATATCTTTGCTTGTTGGGTTTTATGTTTGGTTTGAGTTTGATGAATTTTTTGTGCTTGTTGGGTATTCTGTTTGGATTGAATTTGTATTATTCGAAATACAAATATGTTCATTTTTATTGCTTTATGTGGAATTCATGTGTTAATTTATATTAAATGTAGGTTCATCGACAAAAGAGAGCCAAATTGCAGCGTGTTAATAATCATACAGTGAATTTTCCACCCAAGTAACTCTCCCTCTTCTATGCCATGGATCTGTCCACCACTGAGATTTGAATAAGCAGAAGACAGTGAATAATCTCCACCGAGATTTGAAGAAGCAATTGCCATGGATTTGTTCCTCCACGTAATATTAGAGCTGAAATTGGATTTGTGTTCTGTTCCCTTTGAGAAGCCTAACAATTGACTGCTAAAAAAAAAAAATACACACATACATATGGAATTCAAAGGAAAGACACTAATATATTTTTCTTATGGTTTTTTGATATTCTGAGTTATTGTTTTGATATGTCACATCTTGATCACAGACAGTATACTATTCTATTAATGGTAGATTACACTTCATGAATTCGAGTTGGACACAACTCTATATGACAGGGTCCTCATATCATCATTTGGACAACTGTTCATGGGTGGGAGCTTTGAAAGTGAAGAAAATGGGATAAACTTTATAATTGTAAGAATTGCTTCATGGATACTAAGTAATTTTAACTAACTACAGAAAGCATTAGGGAAAGAGAGAGGCCTGCCCGTTAACCCCTAGAAAACTGGTTGACATGTACAAGTCCACATTTTAAAAACCCAACAAGTGCCAAAAAAAAAAACACAACTTGGATGGCTTCTTTGTTGGATTTGCCTATATATTTATTAATTTCAAATCAAAAGAATTACAATAACCACAGAAAATTTACATGTCCTAAGAAAGAGGAGAGTTTTGGTTTATGATGATCAAGGGTAATTGTGGTTGCTTGGATGCTGAGCTTGTGCCTGTGGTTTTTAGTGTTGATTTGTTTGAAATAGGTCATTTTTTGTGGCTGGAAGTTGAGGTCAGTTCAGATTGTTGCTATGAAAGCTGTTGGTGGCCTATTTTACTGTTGTTATTGGTTGGAAGTGGCTGTAAGAGTGATGTTTCTACTGATTGTTTTGGGAGCTGGCCTGTAATCTTTTGATTTGGTTTTCTGTTTGTTTTTGTTTCTGGAATAAGAGGCCTTATGTGGTTTTCCTTTTTGCTTCTTGTAATGACTAGTTTTGTGTTAAAAAAAGAAAGAAAGAAAGATGGAAGCACTAATGCAGGGGATTACCTGTGCTTTGAAAAAAGAGGACTGTTATTTTTTTATGATATGGGCTGATTTGGTTTTTGTTGTCTGAAGTACTGGGGTAGAAAATGGTGGTTGTGGTGAAGCCTTTGTGCTGAAGATGCTATTTTTGTGGATTGTTGGTGAGAGTTTTGTATCTCTTTATGCTGCGAATGCTTCAGTTCCTGCTATATGTTGCTGAAGCAAGGAAAGAGCAAAGGGTTTGTCTGATGGAGTAGTTTTTTCCTGGTTTTGGTTTAATTTCTGGCTTTTGTTATGGAGTTTGGTTTGTCTTTCTCCTTTGCTTTTTTGTAATGTTGTTTTGTTCATAAATAAAATTTTTCTATTTTGGTGTATATATATATATACATACATATTAGTAGCTTGACTATCAATTTTTCATCTGGTTGAGAATCCCTGAATATTTAAAATTACCATTCTAGTGAAAATGCAATGAGCTAGGTTTTATTATGAAAAAAAATATTAATTATCATTACCGGCATTTAAATAAATGCCGAAAATCAGAAAACCATAAATAATAATTAATGGTGTTTAAATAAATGCCATAACATAGCTTCAGTCAATGAAATTTTACAAGGAAGTCGTTGATTAAATAAGCGTTGTTTTAGCGTTTAGTAAACTTCATTTTAATTTTTGTGGCGTTTAATTATACGTCGATAATTTTTCCAACGGAGCTTTAGACGTCATTAATAGCAAACGTCAATAATAATATTTTGCGACGGTTATTTACATTTTACCAGTGTTTATTAAACGTCAATAAATGTCTTTTTTCTTGCAGTGGTAGCAGAATATATCAGTTAGGATTATGAATTAATTTGTCGTGTGTATGTTATTTGGGTTAATCCTATGGAATGTGATTTTCTTAATTTTTTTCATATACTGGCTGGGATGGTTATGGTCTATATTTTATTTTTCATGGATGTAGATTGGGGATTGGATTAAAAGTAAGATTTTGTTGTGTTAAATAGGTGGTAAATAGTTCAACAGTTTGTGTTGGTTATGGTAATCGTGTTATCCGAGTTGTGTCTACCCAAACATAATCCATGTACTGTTAAAGGGGTTGGTAGCAGACAGTGTCAACCCGAACATAACCTCTTAATTTAAAGTGTTATATAGGCCATGTTCGAGTTTGAGCGAGTCATGTTAGTATTATGTCATTCGACATGATTAACTAAGCAGCCTCTATGTTAAGGCTGAGGAGTTTTAGACATGAACACAACAAAATATAATATGACACGATACAGTTGTCACTCTACTTCATGCACATTTAGGTATTCATATTTTTGTGCATTCATGCACTAGCAATGTCTGGCGATTTTTTTTTTTTTATATAGTGCATCTAGGCACAGACAATTACTAGTATATCTATAGAATAGGAGACACAGAGTTTTGAATTCTAGAGACAAGTAGAGGATCAGATCGTTTCAAGACAAAACTAAGAGATGGCTTAGATCATCTCAAATTTATTAATCCGACAAACCACAATGAGTCCTGAATTTTCTTTTCCTGCCTGTACTACTTTCCATTTTATTTAGTCAAAATCACACCTAATATTATCACATAGAATCTTTACTTTCCAAACTCAAGACCACTCTTAATACTTCCAAACTCAAGAATCTTCAATCCGCAATGACTATTGAAATCCCTCTCATTAGTCTTCCTGGCAAATATCTCTCTCTCACACCCTTTTGCGATGCACAGCTGCACTTTCCATTCTACTTTCTAAACTCAACCCAACTTTTATGCTTTCCATCTCTCTCTGATGCCTCTCTCTACTCTTTCTTCTTCTGCGAAGAAATAGTTGCATCTATTCTCAATGCCACCGCCAATGACAGCCAGAAGCTGCCCAGGTATCTCATCTCCCTTTTTTCTCATTCCCTCTGCCACCCGAAAGCCCCTCTTGCTTCTCTCTCCCAGAACACTCACATTGCATAATGCCATAAGGCGTTCATTCAAATGCCAAAGAGTATAAATAATTTTTTGGCTGGATTTTTTTGGGAAACCACATGCATACTAGGTGTTGACTTCGATTTTGGATTCCATTGTTGATTTCGACTATGATTTTTCGCTTAAACTGAATTTTTTTTTAGATGTATTTCTTGGATGAATTTTTTTACATGATTATTAGTCTTAATTTTCAATGTTGAAGGATAGTTATCCAACCTTGAAAAATTTAAGCTTGGATTTCCTATTTTACTATTACTTGTGTTTTGTCCTTCATGAGCAAGGAATAGATGCCTTGGAATGGTAATTGAACTCCACATTAGCCTATTAGTGAATTCAAGAAGAAGCCATTGATTGTCCCTATTAGACCTAATGGTCTTAAGCGGATCGAATAAAAAACTAGTCTTGACTCATAGGATCCATAACAATGATTCTTAATAGAGATATACTGAAAAAATCTCAATGAAAGAATACCAAGAATATCGAATATAATCACAAACTTGATTCTTAATAGATTGTAGATAAGTTTTTCTAGAGAGTGAGAGATACTGTAAGTGTGAATAAGAGATGGAGTCTCTCAGGTAATTTATATTCCTTCACTAGTAACCAATTGCCCCACGTTAAAATAATCAGTAATCATTCCGTCCCATCAATGTAACTTGACTCATGGAAATTGATTATTGTTAAACATGTTTCCTTATAGTTAAGGACAACCACTTTCTCAAGGAAACTGTCCACTAACCTAACAAACATGTGTTAGGTCTTTTAATTAGGATATCCTTATCCCAAAACCTTAGTTTGCACCTTGCTATTTAAGGTTCACATGTGGGTCCCATTAAATAGGTTTTAACATTCTCTTACTTGGACTGAATTAACAAGGAAGTTGAAATAAAATAATGATAATATTAATACTAATATATTTTGGAAATAAGCAAATACTTGAGTTCGGTAAAGTTATGCCGCTCTTTATCAAATAATCCTAACATAAGTGAGCTTAACTCTATTCTTGATTATTTGAATCTAGTAATATGAACCATAGTGGGTATACATCAATAAATAGCATATAACCTTCCATGATCACAATATCACAAAAACCTCATAAACAAGGCTTTAGACTAATTTTCTTTATAAATGAATTTCTCATAAAATCCATTTGTTGGTCAAATTTTATGCTAAGAATATATCCTTACCACAAAAGATATAATAAGCAAAATAAAATAATAATGTGATACAATAAACTAATAGTGTCTCTGTGCACATATAGTACATCAAGCAATAACATTATTTATTAGACCCATATGATCTACATGATTTTTGTACAATCCTAGAGCTATAGCTTTGGTCATAGAGTATACCACCATAAGCACAATGCTGATGTACTTAACTAAATCCTTATTTTCATCACATTTCTCTTTTATGACAAAGTTTTTAATATCCATGTGCTTGTTACCATTAGATAGCTTGCTATTATTTATTGAGGAGACGACTCCTACATTATCACAAAACATCCTTATGAGTTTTGAAATAGAATTAACAACCTTAATCCCAATGATAAAATTCCTCAACCAAATTGCCTGTATAATTGCCTCATAGCATGCAACTAACTTAGCCTCCATAGTAAAAGTTGCTGTTAATTTCTATTTACTACTTCTCCAAGAGATTGTACCATTAACAAGCAAAAATATATATCTTGAGGTTGTCGCTTGTTATTTGGGCATCCTGCAAAGTCGGAATCTGTATATCTGACAACCTCTAGAGAATCAGATTTACTATATGTAAGCATATAATATTTGTTCCTTGTAGATATCTAAGCACCTTTTTTGCAGCTCTCCAATAATCCCAACTTGGGTCACTCTGGAATCCTCCCAATACACCAACTACAAATGCAATGTCGGGTCTAGTGCAAATTTGGCATACATTAAAGTCCCAACCAATGATGCATTAAGATATACTCTTATTTACTCTCTTTCAAGTTCATTTCTCAGAGATTGAAACTTATTTAATCTATCACCTTTAGACATAGGTGCAGGGCTTGGTTTGAAATTTTCCATATCATACATTTCCAACATATTCTTAATGTAGGTCCTTTAAAATAGATAAAATTTTCCTCTAGATCTATCCTTGTGAACCTCTATGCCTATGACATATGAGGCCTCACACATATCCTTCATTTCAAAATGACTGGAGAGAAAATTCTTAGTCTCAATTAGCAACATAAAATCACTACTAGCAAGCAAAATATCGTCTACATAAAGGACTAGAAAAATGAATCAATTGCACTGATCTTAAGGTATATACAACGATCAACGACATTTTCTACAAAACCAAATGAAAAAATCACATTGTTTAACTTAAGATATCATTGACGGGAAGACTGGTTAAGTCCATATATAGACTTATTTAACTTGCAAACTATATTACTCTATCCCTCTGAAACAAAACCCTCAGATTGTTTCATGTATACCTTTTCTTCTAGATCTCCATTGGAAAAAACTATTCTCACATCCATCTGGTGAAGCTCCAAGTCAAAATGAGCCATCATTACCATAATTATTCTCAGAGAGTCTTTCTTAAAAATAGGTGAGAAAGTCTCATTATAATTGATATCTTCCTTTTGAGTGAATCCATTGACAACAAGTCTGGTCTTATATCATTCTACCTTTCCTTTGGAGTCTGTTTTGGTCTTATAGACCCATTATAGTTGACTACTGTGGCACTAGGAGGTAGTTCAACTAAATTCCAAACATTGTTTTTATCCATTGAGTTCAACTCTTCCTTCATGGAATCATTACCAATTAGAGGAATTTAAACTATTCATGACTTGTGAAAAAGTAGTTGGATCATCACACTTTCTAATATCAAAATCGGACTCTTGAAGATACATAATATAGTTTGATGGAATTGTAGATTTTTAACCCTTGATGACCTACTTAAAGTTTCTTCTTGCCTCGCTACATGTGAAGGCAAAGCAATATTCTCAGTTACTGCGGGTTCAATTACAGATGGTACATTAATAGTTGATTCATCCTCCATCAAATCATTATGAATAATAGGATGAGGAATCATTACCAACTCATCTAATCTTTGCATAAAAATTGGAGTTTGATGTTCCTCAAAAATAATATTTTGAGGTTATATACTCCCACTAACTTGTTTATTTTCAAGAAATTTGCATTTTGTGTCTCTACAATCCGTAGAGAATGATCAAGACAATAAAATTTGTATCCCTTGGAATTT